GATCTAAGCCCCGACGGGGGGCGCGGGCTCCTGGGGCAGGGGCCGGGCACTCGGGGGAAGGAAGGTCTCTGCTGCTCCCCAGTCGGGGCCAGCCCTGCCCTGGTGGGTTGCCAGGATCGGGGCCCAGGCGCCGGGAAATGCCTGGGCTCCCACTGGGACAGCTCTGCAGGGCTGTGAGGGGCCGGGAGCTGTGCAGCGGGGCTTTCAGGGGGGCTGGCCCCACACTTCTGCACCCCACAGGCGGCTGGGAAAGAGGGGCAGAGCCGTGCTGATGCCTGGGGCAGCGGCACCCCACAGGAGGTAGCTCCCCTGTGCGTGTTGTGTACTCACACACATGGATACCAATACATATGTAGGAAGGCAAGGTTCTTGGAGTAGATGTGTGATGTCTTGTATTAGAGACCAGCTGAGTAGTTGGAAAAAAGTTCTTAGCATACATAGGTAGAGCTGTTGGTGTTTATACACCCTCCCCGCTATATCCAAATACACACGTATAGGTCTGTATTTACATCTATATGTGTGTGTGTGTCTGTACACATTTCTGTGCATGTATTTGTCTATATGTGAGTAATATATAGACATGTGTATGGGTACTGTCAGTTGCATATATATCTCTCTCCCTTTATGTGTGTGTATGTATGTGTGTGTGTGCATACACACATGTATATGTATATGTGTGTATGTGTATGTATAGATATGTGTACATATCTAGATATCTATACATACACATACACACATATACATATACGTGTGTGTATACACACACATATACACATGTATGTATATGTATATACATATGCATTCACATATACATATATATCATATATTAATTATTATATCATATGTATTAATACAGATATGTGTGTGAATATATATATATACAGAATATGGATACAGATATATATTCACACACATATCTGTATTAATATATTAATACACATGATATATATGTATATATGAATACATATGTGTGTGTATGTATGTGTATATGTATATATGTGTGTGTATATAGGATACATATGCAACTGACTTTACCCGCACATATTTTGACTTTATGCACTCATATATGTATGTATCTTTTATATATCAGTCACACCAATAAATTTACCTCCTAGATTCGATATAAGTTTGGGTAAAGAGATCTGTAAGTTACTTTTTAGCCTGGGCTGGCTTTCTCTCTCTTTCACCCTTCTTCCTTGGCTATTGTGTTCTAATTTCTTTCTCCTTCCTATACTCTGCTTTCTGCACATCCTTTCACAGCATCTGATGAAGGGAACTTGGGTTCAGGAAAGCTTGTGCTATATGTATACAAAATACACATACATAGACATATCCAACTAAATATATATCATTTAATTAGTCTGCGAAGGTGCATATCTACCCTGCTTTCTGGATATAGGGAACTGCCGCTGATCTCTGATCAATCCTCTTTCCATAGATGTCAGAGCTGGCTGAAAAGTTGCGTGGAAGCAGAATTGGGCCCCAACTAAATAAATAGGATAGGCTAGAGCCCCAGGGAGTCACTGATGCCTCTCAGCTGTCAGGGTTGGCTGAAGTTTAGATTTAGATCTGTGCTCTTAATTAGCTGCTTGCAGTGTTTTCAGATTCTAGTATTAATCTTCCAGGTGTTGGATTCCCCTGAATCTCATTGCAGTTTGTGGCAAGAGGGAGGAGATGTTTCTTTCTCATATAAATTCACTTTTGAAAGTGTAAAGTTAGTTGTTAGATGTAAAAGTTTTACCTTGAAAATCAGTCATTGGAAATATCCAGGATACTTGTGTGTGTGAATCAGCTCTCTGTAAAAGCTGGGTTTTTCATGCTGTGGGAGACTGGATTAATTCAAATTTTTTTTTCATCTTAAATAGAATGAAAACAAAACATTTTGACACCTTCCATGACATTATTTTTTTTTAAAGATCATCTGACATGTTGATCAAAATGGTTCATTCTGATTTTGATTTTGTTTTTACATTTTATCTTCTATAATGCCCTGTATAATACAGTTAAATATTTGGAAGATATATTCCTCTCTAAATCGAAAATCAAAACATTGCACTCTGGGTTTTAAAATGTGCCTTGCTTAATAAATATTCTCCAGCTATTTGGGTTGGTCTAATAAAAGATATCAAATTCACCCAAGGAACCTTGTCTGCCTCTGTCAAAATGAAGCATTTTTGCTTTAACTGACAGAAAAAAATGTGTCCCTGGAAAATTTCTCACGTGCTTTAGTCTGATCGGTGTCCCTGTCTCTGCTCTCGTTTACACGCATGCAAATCCAGAGAAAGGCCACTAATTTCGTTAGAGAAAATAGTGTGGAAGGGTTGAAATAACAACGAAAGAAAAATAGCCAGGTCTGTGTTTGGATCTCGGCGGTACTTGTACAAAGTGACTCCAGAGTGATGTTTGCTGTAGGATCGTTCTCCCAGCTCACGTAAAGGGCTCTAAAGAAATGGAGGCTAATACGTTCCCCCTTTAATAAGATTCTTGTTCCTGCCTGGAGAGACGCTGAGCTAGGTCTCCTGCACTCCCCCATGGCACTATATCCAGGCTGGTCAGTGGAGCAGTGGCTTTTTTCTGGGCTTCCCTGGATTAGTCCCGATCACAGCTCCTCTTCCACTTCTGCTGCAGCCGTATGAGTAGGATGGGTCAAAAATGTTCAGTTCCAACTGTTTTCCATTGGACCGTACCGATTCCACAAATCATGTTTTCCAGGAACACATTGATTAGGTCAACTTCTTTCCTTGGGAAATTACCAAAGCCCTTTTAATTTTATCATTTTGGGTACTACGCTATCCTATGAAATGTGACAACAAAGTCAAAATTAAATGCTATGATCTTATAAAAATGCAGCGTTAAGACCTTGTCCATACAACACATTTCAACAAAGCAAAAGGGAAATATTTCCGAATGTTTCAGTCGGTGCACAAAGTAAAGGTTTTGCCTGACTTTTAACCTAATTTGGAATGAAACTGAATTTCAGAGCCCTGCAGTTTTCTGGAGAACGGAAAATTGGTTTTACTTCGTAAGAGGAAAAGCCAACTGGGTTAGAAAGGGCAGAGGGGGTGGGGAGATTCAGCTCTCAGTCCCACGTATTTCTTGCTTCTAGTGGGGTGTCCAAGCTGGGGGGATATAACGAGTGATATAGGTGAAATTCAAGTCTCCGCTGCTCTGGACTTTGCTTCAGGGCCAGTTGGGACATGCTACTAAGGGTTTTTTTGTGGAGGTATGTTCAGTGTTTGGACTTTCCTTATACTGGATCCCTGCCTAGCTGAATCATTACTGATTAGCAACCAGTAACCTCCCAATCCCCCATGATGGAGCAGAGAACCTGACATTCAGATAAACCCCTATGTGCACATGTTGCCCTTCTTGTGTTCAGTCCCCTGGCTCAGGCTGCAGGGACCTGGGGCTGTGCGCAAAGCACACTGCACCCGAGAGGAGTCAGACTTTGTCTGGGAAACCCTTCTGCAACCCGTACCCCTCTGTGTTTTTTCCCAAATTTTCCTTTGGTCATATAGGTCTTGGTATTTTTTGAAGTAGTGGGGCAGGGTTTTGTAACTAGTGGGGCTGATTTGGCATCCACTGAAGCCACTGGAAAAGTTCACACTGACTTCAGCGCTGCAGGAGCAAGCCACTAGCCAGCAGTGAAGCAGATCTCATGCATCTTGGCAGTTGCAGACACTGGACAACACAAGGATGTTGCAGCAGTCAATCTTATTGCCACAACCATTTCTCACGCACAACTCAAGGGCAGTTTTGGCTGCTCTAGCAACCTTATATGGACTAACAGACTTTGGATTTGTAAGGAAAATGAATGGGCAGTGAATGGAAAGTGAATGAGAGCTGAGCGTGCCCTGCAACTGTCTCTAACATGGGAAGCAGTATGTGATACCCAATTCAGTGAATGATGAGGCTAAAATACTGGGTCCTGATCCTGAAAGCAGCTCAAATAAAAACAGCAGGGTTGGTCTTTTCATATAGTCCAGGAAAAGGGGCATTTCTGTTTGTTCCATTTTTCCCTTTGTTTGCATGCAAAGTCCTACCGTGGATTTGGTGGTATTATTATTCAGATTATTATTACTTAGCACATTCTCAGCAGATCCCTCAAGGATTAGCTTTTGGTGCCTGATGTCATCCTGGGTGTGTCTTTAGCCTCATAAAACAATCTTTTTCAATTAAGTTTCACATTTAATTTTGAAATCTTTAGGAAGAGGCTTGTCTTTTTATTCCGCGGGGCTTTGCATAGTAAAAAGAGAAGACCCAGACATCAAAGTAACACACAGGGAAATATCTGGTTACAGAAATTACAGATTTCATCTTGCTATTTTCTAAATTTACAAAGTTTGTTCCACAGCTGTTTGGTTTGGTTTGGTTTGGTTTTGGGGGGGTGGGGGCAAAGCACTGCATGTCATCTTTCCTATGCTAGCCTCGTTGATAGGGAAAGTGCCCTGTACTTTTATTAGGAACTTCAAGTAAATATTACAGTATCAATAACCTTAGGAACAGTTCAATTATGCCTTCTTATAGTGCTTGGAGATGCAGACATTGCAATTAGTCTGCTGCTGTTGTGTTTTAGGTTCTTAGTTCTGTAACCAGATGTTTCCTTGTGTGTTATGTTGATGCCTGCTCTTTTTACTATGCAAAGTCCCACCAAATAAAAAGATATGCCCTTTGCTAGAGATTTCAGAATGACTTTATGCAGTGCAGCGGGAATGATACTCAGCAGTTTCACATCAGTCAGCCTATTCATGTATAAGATGATACAGTAGAGCAAGAAGTGTACGACTGCTAGTGCATTATAAGGGTGACATTCTGTAGGCAGCGTAGGCAGCTGTTCTGTGATGTATGAGTTGTATCAGTGTTGTCTTTAAAATGAATAGGATGCTCGTACTGATTTCAATAGAAAGCAGTAACTCAGAGACGGGATAGGACAGAGTTTTGCATTACAGACACCTTTCATAGCCAAGGCACTTTGAAATGTTTTATAACTATTAAGTTAGGACCTGGTCCTGAAAGCACATGTGGCTTGTTATACATAGGTAGTCCTACAGAGTTCGTTGGGAACTGCTCAGATTAGAAAGCTGAGTTATTGCAGAAATGGCCACAGATTCAGGGCTTGATACACAACTAGTGCATTGTCTCTGCAGGGCTGAACAGCCCTGACTACTAAAATCTAGTTTGCAGCCAGCTTTTGAGGTCTTAACTGAGTCCTTGTTCAGTCTGCTAATTGTCAGACTGGGCCACTGCTGAGGAAGCCGTTATTGCCCAGCACGTTCAAGTTACCTTTTTTTTCCTTTCAGTAGCCCTAGAGCTTTGCCATTCGGATACTGCACAGAAACATACTATAGTGTCTGCAGTGTCTCCTGAAATCATTGTGCTAGAGCAGTGCTTTGTGCGTGGACGTGTTCCACAGAAATGATTATACTGTTGTGGTAAGGGCGGGGAAGAAAACCAAGAGCAAAAAAGCATGACGGTTTTTACAACGCATGTCAGATAACCACAAAGTAAACCAATAATGGCAATCACAGTCCACGAGGGACAGAGGATTCCCTTGACAGAGGGGTTTCAGACATGTCTTTTATGACAGCTATACCTTAACTGTTCGCATGGAGGTCATACCGCTTCGGGCAACCTGACTTGGGGTTGGATCGTAAATGCCGCACAAAGTGAATAGGGATCTACCTAGGTCAGTGCGAACTTTATCAGGGACAAAGAGTAACGGGCACACATTGCTACAAAGGAGATCTGGGTTATATATGAGGAAGCGCTTTCCAGCTGCGAGGTAGATAATCACTGAAAAGGTTTATCTAGAGCAGTTGTGGCATGTCTGCTATCGGCAATTCGTAAGGGCAGGTTAGACGAGCATTTATTTGGGATGGTTTAAACAGGGGCGATCCTGCCATGAGAAGGGGTTGAATAAGATGATCTAAGGTCCCTTTCAGCCCTATTTTTCTAGGATGTTATGAGTTTTGATTAACGTCCCCAAGAATTTCAGTTCACGTGATCTCAAATCCCTCGAGTTTCAGGTTCGTTCAAAGCTGAGAGGTCAGAGGCAGGGCTCAGATTCAAACAGGGATATTCTGTTATGTCCCGCGGCTTGCGATATAGGCTGCCTCGGTGGGACAACTCCAGGGTGGCTCTGGCAGATCTGCACAGCGCTCCTCTCCTTTCCCTAGGGGTTTAGTGCACATGCTGAGCACTTTGCAGGATTAATCACAGCAAGAGTTAAGGCCGTATCTCTGAGAGCAGGATTTTGCCTAGACGAGCTGACCCAGCTACACTCCCCACAGTCCATATTCATGAAGTTCATCTGATGCAGCAGGATTTTAAGCGAACCTACTCTCCCACCCGTCGGGCCTGTCTAAATGCGGCAAAAGCGTGGCTGCATTTTGATTGAACGGTCTCGGGTCCAAAGGTATTTTCCGTGCAACTCGCCTGATTTCATTTCCGGGTTCGAAAATGAAACTAAGCGAGTCACTGGGGACTTGGTGGTTTCGCTGCAAACGCTGGCCCGACCTCTCAGACAGCTCCATCCAGTCTGAATTCCTTGCATCTCGGGGCTACGAACTCTGGCGGAGTCTTGGTATAACTTTATAACGTGGGCTGTATTCAGCGCGCTCAAACTAATTCCTCGAGCTTATCAGCAGCAGTTGCTGTCAAGTGCAGCCCATGAAGAGCTTTTCTGTTTAAGTGTACACTGCATTTGTATAAATAAACACTAGAGCACAATGTTGAAGTCAATAGCTTCCTAGACAAGGTCAGAACGCCACAAAGGCAGATGGGGTCGGGGCGGGCAGGAACGCATTTTCTTTTAAGCGAACTGCTGGGAAATTCGCCGTACCGTATTGTAGTTTTGTCCTTCAGGGAACACAAGTAGCCTTGACTGCGTCTTTCTTTCAAAATTCAGAACGACCAGTTGCAGAGAGTGCTTAGACATGATATTTTTGGTAACTTGGTGAGGCTTGGTTGTGCTCTCATTGAGCTCATTAGGAATAAATAACTGGTTCTGGGTTCGGTCAGGTACGTGTCACTCCCACTTTCATCAAAAATGAGGCAAAAAACTTAGCAAGATCTTACTAGTGGGTCAGGCAGTGGACTGACGAGGTGGTAGGTCTGTTCCCGCCTCACCACGGAGTTTGCATTTGATTTTGGACACGGCAGTGAATCTCCCTGTGCCTCAGTTCCCATTTGTGAAACGGGGATAACACCTCCCTACCTCGCAGAGACTCGGGTGGATAAAAGCCGGTCACAATTGCAAGGTGCCCAGTGACTATGGTGGTATGGGCATATATGGACATGGACTGGTTTTGTGCCATTTATAATGTAAATGCAGTGATCAGGTTTCACTGGGCATTTATACACGTGCTCTGGGGGTGGGGGGAGAGAGCTTTAATTAGAGTGGCAGAGCCATTCAAGTGCCAGGAGCATTTCATGCATCGGCA